TGGTTTGCAATATGTAAGCTTATGCGATGCTAGCTATCATGGAACGGTATTCGTTCTCATGGTCGAACACGACGTCAAACTAGACAACAATGGCGAGATTATACGTATTCACCAGTGTCATTTGCTGGCCAATAGTTCAGCACGGCGCAATTGAAATTTTCTATCTATTACAAAGAATTCCTAGCACTATTTTGCATTGGACCGTTTCGCACATTACATCTAGAGATCAGCCAAACCAGTGATCGCATCAACTGATAATAGAAATCTCACACAATTCTTCCAAGCAAAAAAACAATACCACCATCAGTATGGCTTATTTCTCGATAGAGTTTTGTCTTTAAACAATATTTGCACACACACCGGGAACAGCAAATTAGGCAGCAGACTTTCTGTCCCGACTGCAAACGGACCCCTCCGCCTCTCTATTATTGAAACTTCTAGACAAAATAGTAATGCCAGAAACATATATCGACTCAAAAGCAAGAGTTTTGGATGCATCACTTAATCTAGTCGAATCAATGGAAGAGGCATTCTCTGATATTGAAGAAATCGATTCATATCTTATTGTAAAATTGCAAAGGTTGAGACTCTACGAGGCCTACCTGGAGAAACAGAGTGATAAACAGTGACAATAATTTACAACCGAAAACTATGGTACGGTTGATAAGGCGAAATGTCAATGCAGTCGATTATCAAGATCCAGCGGAGCTTTATAAGGACCTGCATTTAAAGAATGAACCACCCGACCCGAATGTGGAACAATAGGAAGTGGACATCGAAATGGTGAAAACTTTGACGCGGAAAGGAGAAGTATCAGATCTAATGTATTCAAACAGCCGCTTGAAATTAAATGCAGAACAGTTTAATCGACTTGTACTATTGTTTTAATCGTTTTAACTGATAGAACTCACACAATTCTTCCACGCAAAAACAATACCACCATCAGTGTGAAATTTTCTCGATGGACTCTTGTCTTTTAACATAATAGTTGCACACACAAGTGGAACAGCAAATTACGCAGCAGTATTTCTGTTCCGAATGCAAACGCCCCTCCGCCTCTCTATTGTTGAAACTTCCAGATAAAATAACTTGTGAGAAATATATTTCGACTCAGCTGCAAGAGTACTGGGTGCATCACTTAATCTAGTCGAATCTCTGGAAGAGGCATTATCTGATATTGAAGAAATCGATGAAGCCTTTATTGTAAATTTGCAAAGCTTAAGACTCAACGAGGCCTACCTGGAGAAACAGTGATAACCAAAGCGACAATAAGTTACAACCGAAAACGTTGCTACGGTTGACAAGGCAAACAACCCTGAATGCAGTCGAATATCAAGATCAGCTGAGTTTTATATGGACCTGCACCTGAAGAAAGAGCCACCCGACCTGAATGTGGAACAGCAATAGGACGTGGACATCGAAATGGTTAAAATTTGGATGCAGACAGAAGTATCAGATCTAACGTATTCAAACAGCCGCTTGAAAATGTATGCAAAACACTTTAATCGACGTGTTCTATCGACTTGTTTAATCGCTTTCAACTGATAATAGTTCAGTCATATTGGAGTCTTCCATCCATGTCATCATGCTACGTAGAACTTTTCGGGTGAAGGAAAAAGTAGAATTCTTCGATGTCGTCACTTCCATCTGTGAAAGGGCTGTAATTTTATCTTTAATCAGCGATTGTTGCGTTAAAATTAAATGATCTGATTGGCCGGGAAGTGCCATCTTTAGCGTCCCAGAAGACAAAAGAAAATGCAGCAGCATGGAATATAAGAAATTTCCACGAATAGAATGATGTTGTGTCAGCAGCAGAAGGCGGAATTCGAGAATGGAGAAGCTATCGTTCAACCCCAGACGGCTACACAGGGACTCGATGGTCTTTTTCGAACCTGCTGGGAGTGTCAAAAAAGTGATTGTCATCATCAACGACCCTTTCGTGTCCCAGTGTACAGTTCGTTTGGTCGACAAACCCCAGGATACTGCGGGGAATGGACCATCAGGAGGTGGTAGTTTTTACGTTAAGTACTCTGGTTTCAGAAACTAGTCACAAGACGAATCAAAGAAATGAGTCGGAGAATCACTGCCAGATGAAATTTCGTAAAACTCTCGATTAAGGATGCTGAGAAACCTAGACCCGAACAAAAACCCTCAGAGCTCAAGGTCAAGGAGGAAAAACGGCAGTAAGATTTTTTGAGTCGCCTTGATTATTTCGAGTCGCCAGAAAATTACACAACCTTGACTTTTGCTCTGTGCATCAACGGTGTAATACAGGTAAAATTTTCATGTAACTAATCAAGTGTGTGACTAATCCACTAATTATTCACATCCAACTATCCTGATAATATGTATATGATCATCGATTTCATCTGATATCCTGAAAATTTATACTGCATTTCCGGATGCAATTGATTCTTTTTATTATCGTATTATAGTTTACCGTATTCTTATTATACCCCGTTTTCTAAATTGTGAATATAGCTAGGATCGACTATCTTGCGCGCCGGAAAAAAGTTCCGTGTCGATTATTTGAAATCGATTGCACGAAGAAACGACCATCTGCTGGAGTGATTTCCATCGAAAGTGCGGATATCAGCGTGAGCATGCCTTCTGTTATGGCGGAGCTTGCTGCAGAAGAATGTTTTGGTTTTTAGCTGTTTGTTTCATTTTCGATGTTTTTCCAAAAACAAATATGATTTATTCTCTTGTACTAGGTTTTAGAACAAAATTAGCTGCGATCTGAGTGAAATCACTCACCCAAATAGCCAAATTTTTGCGTTGTTTTCGGCAATAAAAAGATGTGTCGGCTTGATGAGAAAAAAAAAAAGGGCAAGCTTTCATTTTGGTTCCAGCTACACCAATAACCAGAAAGGCAATTAGTTTATCATCCATACAGTGTGCTGCTAAATTTTCGGGCAGTATAACATCGGAATTTTCTGGTTGCCATCAATCTTTGGATTCTGTGCTTGGGGTAAAATGGGATTTGTTGCCAGCTAAAAACGAACGAGAGCTGGACACTGATCAAATCTCTCCACAGAGATCAAGTTCAACGAACACAGAGATTTCCTCATAAGCACGATCCGATGCCATATAAATGCATGCCGTGGTAGATATGCCCTCGAGGAAAGCTACCGAGAAGTATTCAGACATAATATGGCCGAGGCCGCCCAGGATTTTTTAATGACTTGCAATGAACAAATTGAACTGTTTACTTTTTGTTGCTATAACTATTTGTTATTATTTGAGCTCTTTAAGTTAACCGTAATTTGCCGTATTCTTTTTACTGCATGCAGTATGTGTTATGTTCTGAAAATTATGCCGGCCCGTCGAAGTTGCTCATAAGGAGTAAACTGTCTATTTAAAGTAGTTTGCTCATAGGGAGTAAATTATCTAGTAAAAGAAACTAATATAAGTAAATCCGTTTTAGATAAAAAGTTAACAAAACCTGAACAACTACAGCTGAAATAAAGGTATTTTTCAAAAACAAAAATATGTTCCGGAAAATGTTGTTTTTATTTTTATTTTGATTATTTTTTTTTGATTGAAATGAACTGATGAATTTTGATGCTAGTTTAATTCATAGTTTGTTCAATTTTTTCTTTTTTCAGGAATTGAGATTGATGGCAGGAATTGAGATCAAATTTGGGTTGACCGGAATTGAGATCGAAGTTTGGTATGTTTGACAGGAATGGAGATCAAAGTTAAGTTACAGGAATTGAGATCGAATTTGGTGACAGGAATTGTGATTGACAGGTATTTCAACTGCTAGCTGATTAACGCAGTAATTGAGATTGAACTTGCTTGTGACCAACGAGTAAATAGAAGATATAAATTAAAACGTTACTACATATAAACATATATAAAAATGGAATCCGCAAACAAAATGCGGACTCCACTTACAATTTGCGGTTTCCTTTTACAATTTGCGGATTCCATTTACAATTTGCGGATTCCACTTAGTTGTGGATTCCGCAACAGCTGAGTTTAACGATACAAATGTCTTGTCATTTGTTTGTGGATTCCACAAACTGTTCTGGATTCCGCAGATACAGTTGCGGATTCCGCAAATTCGCCTATTTTGGAGCGATTTTGAGCGGTACAATGTTTTAGGTATTTGTTTGTGGAATCGAAAACCGGAGAGAAGATCAAAGAAAAGTAGCAATGTTGCGGATTCCGCGACAAATTTGGTTTTGGACTGTGACTGTTGCGGATTCCGCTTACAATGCACAGAATGCGCAGTTTGGCCTCGTAATGAAATTAGTGAAAGATCTCACTTAATTGTTATTATCATTTTGCTCATAGAAATTTTTCTTGAACTCTGAACAATTTTTTATACGTCATTGATTTGAGGAAATGGTGCATTTTTCTGGACCGAGCTGGCCAATGTCGGGTAGGGTAAGGACTATCCCGAACCCGAAAGCTCGAAGTGTATGCTTCAGAACAGGGTGAATAGAGTTGGATTTTTTTTGTGTTTCGGCAGTACTGGCCTGAATTAACCAGAGAGTTTCCGTTTTTGAGTGATGAGTGAGATAGGGTCATCAATTTTAATCAATTGTTCTTCAACGGAGTTTTCTTACAGTTTTTGATATCTATCTAACAATTACCTTAGATTAGTTTTGCTGCACTAAGTTACCCACCCGAATGGCATACTAATCTTATTGGAACATCTTGTGGGGAAAATAGCGAGAAATAACCCTTCCTTCCCGCCGTTGCTGTAATAATAATTTAATTATTTTGGCTTAACCTTCGAAGCTGCAGTTTTATGAACCAGTTTGATTATCACTCGACGATTTGATGGATTTTAACCTATATTGTGAGCCTCGATGCATAAATGTTCATATGCGTTCATGCTAATGGAGGCTGTCCAAATTATGTAAAACGGTTTTGTTTGATAATCAAGGTAATTTGAAACAAAATATTCATTTTCATTTCAAATTTGATATTAAGAAGCTTCCAAAATTGAAGAGTGCTGAGTAAGTGTGACTTATATTTTGGAACTTTTAGATTAAAATGGCCGAGAGTTCCGCCAACTGGCAAAAGTACGAAACGAAATCTTCGAAAAAGAAGTCGGCGAAATCGGTCAATGTAAATGGACAGGGTGATTCGAAAGCAACTGCCAAGCAGAATGGAAGCGTCAACTTCAACAACAACATAGATAGAAACTCGTCAATTCCATTGAGCAATACGATGTTTGATGATTTTATAGAAGGTGGAGATGGAGCAAAGAAAAGTGGCACCAAAAACGGCAAGGTCGGAGGTCGAGGCAGACAAGGGACTTCGTACATTTCCGGAGAAGACTTAGTCAAAAATGGTTCTGTCAAATCTAAATTTGGAGAGACGATAAGTTTCTTTACAACAACCGCCTCTGAGACAGCTTCAAAGTGGGCTGGGACAAAGAAACCAGTCCCGAAGAAGTCAACTCCAGAGGTAAAATCGCTATCTTATTCGATTAACTTCTCAGCGCTGAAAGCGGAACCGATCAAAGCCGAAATCGAAAGTTTGGCAGATGTAGATCAAGTCAAGCGTTGTCTTTCTCTCGCAGTTTTCCTAAATATCCAGAGACCCCATCAAGACATAGCAGGGTGGGAAACAAAATCTTTCGAGTCTAGTGAACCCCTGGCTAACTTACCTAAAAATGTTGAAAAAGTGCTTCAGCATTTCATCCAATCACTGCCTGACTCAGCAGTCGGCACGAGTTTTGAACTGGTTCTGGCAGAACTGGTTTCCAAGTCCCACACTCAGGCAACGACATGGGGCTATAAAGTAATGTTACAGCTCCTCGGCAGAATTTTCCCAGAAACAGCAGTACTGCAACATCACAAGAGTTTATCACGCCTGTTTGCCAACACAATCGCCACCAAGATCAACGTCGTCATCTGGGCATTATCCCAGCCAATCATGACAGATCCCGTAATCGGTTTGAGGATCTGGAGCAAAATCTTGCTCCCCCACATATCAAACAAAAGTCTGGCTCCCGCGGTATGCGTGTTGCTAGATCGCCTAATGTCAATTGATGAGCTGGTCCTGGGCAACCAGACACTGGCTCACGTAGACTACTTCCACTTACTGGACTATACTTTTCCACAATCAGGAATGCATAACTTGATTGATCAGAAAACACATAAGACATTGATGACGTATTATCCGAAGTTGAAGATGATGGCTTCCATCAATTCGCGTGCAGTCGAGTTCTTCTCATCATTTCTTATGAGGTATTGAAGTTTATGATCTAAGCGTACTCTACAGTTGACCTAGGATCATGTCAATAGGAGATTGACTTTAATATCTGAACCCGAATGAAGATATAAATATGATCAGAATTTAGTTAACACAAAAAATACAATCAAAATATCTGAACCCGAATAAATATAAAAATTGGATCAAAATTTAGTTAACATAAAAAATACAATCAAAGTTTCAGTCACTTGATAATCACGCGCTTTTTTCAATTCTGGCCTTCATATGCACTATGAAAAAGAGATTTTTCTCAACCAATTGTGAAAGAAGCTACAAAACCAGTGCGAGTATGCTAATTGGTCCCTGCTAAAAGCAAGTACAAAATGAGCTCCTGATTTGTCAAATAATCAAATAGGCAATCAAATAAGCTTCGCTGTCTATTTTTTTAAAATCATAGGCTACCATACTTGTAACAAACAAATTCTCTGACAAGGAGTCATAAAGGTTCAATTTTGTCATTCCAGGTACAATGAGAACCAGTGTCCGGAGATGTTGGACGAGCTAGTACACTGTCTGGCCCTCTGTCTCCGATCGAACTCCAAGTGCTACGAGATGTGGTTCCAGATGCTGCCCAACTACTCAGAACAGACGAGACACTTCCTCGTGGATCTCATGGCCAGGTGGGAGGAGGTGCCGGAAGTACCGAGAAAGGAGCTGAACAAGTTCATCGACAGGGTACAGAAATACTTGGACAAGAACCCTACTGGTAAGCTAACCAACTGCTTCGAAAGCAACTACAAAATTGTCGAAAGTCCGTCTGTAGGTCAATGCCATCGGTGATCTGATTGCTTTTGAAATTTGAGCAGTGCTGTATTACTCTAAGTATTTTTTCGAACTTGAGGAACTGATACCGAAGGGAAATTAAGTGGCTAATTTTGTAGCAGTTTTGGCGCTGCCTTAGCGTAAAATGTAAGCACGACACAATTAGTTTTATTTGTTAATATTTCTGAATCGGTTTGGTTTCTTATGGCTTAATTGCATGCTATCTTATGGCTGCGTCAAAGTGTAAATCTTGGCATCTATAAATTATTCTTTTTGTGCTACTACCACCATAGTGTGAAACCGTGTCAAAAAGAATAGTTTCGTATTAAAAGATGCCTTGATCATTCCATTGGGAGGTTTTGTTGGTGTATCTTTTATTTAAGGGAATGAGAAACTTGTAGGGCAAGAATATGTATTGTAAACTTGTCCTTTTCCTTAAAATTTCGTCTAGTATGTCATTATGCATCCAAACTCTATATACTCACTGCGAAATATCGTGTACTTCCATCGCCTTTTACTATTTGGAACGCAGTTTTTCTGCAACATCCCCTCATTGTTAATCTGCGAACACTGTGAAAAAGCCGGTAAAAGGGCCAAAGGCCATCACGTCAGCTATTGCTACCAAAAGTTTCGGTCTTCAAAAAATAATCAGAAAGAACAATCTGATCAACGCCTAATGAAAAACAAAGAAAGCGAATATCATGAAAAGAAACCAAAGCAATCCGAAAAAGAAACCCAGTTTGAGTCTCTGGGAACAATCACGAGAAGTCGTATCAGACAAAAAACGGTCAAATCATCCGACGAAAAAGGCTTGAATAGCGAGTCGGAACGGTCGAAAGAAGTCAATGAAAGTCCTAACCTGGAATTGCCGAGGGCTTGATTGTCCCGAAAAACTTATTCACATAATGAATAAAGTAACCCATCTCAACTATGACCCAAACTTCATAATTTGTTTACAAGAAACCCAAACTACGGATATCAGTCATAAGTTGAGAACAACTCTAGAGTACTACAAACTTCAGTTTGCTCATACATCATCAATTGGTCGTAGTGGAGGACTACTTACACTCTGGCCAAAGTCTATGAAAGTAACCGTTATCGCAGAAAACAGGGCGTCCCAGCTAATTCATTTTCCCCAGCAACGAACATATGTAGTGAATGCGTATGTCAGAACAGCAAATTATGTCAAAAGTTGCCAACTAATATCGGAAGCGATGACAGAATTAAATGATATAAATGAGTCAGACACACTTATTCTTGTTGGAGACTTGAATTCTTTCCCGAATCACAAGAGAGATCATCAAGCACAAATAGTCTCGACTGCAAAGGTATTCAAGAAAAAACATGTTACCATATTCAAAAGAGTAGAACCCATTTTGAACAGACATTGCCTTAAAGACACAGCAGTTGAGCTAGAAAAAGATAAAGTTACACATAAGTGCTCCAGAACTGGAACACTCACCCGAATAGACATTATTTTTTCGAATACTCTCACGGCGGATGATACATTCCAAATGTACGAAACAACCTTGAGTGACCACCAGATCTTATGTTACCAAACTTTTCAAGAACCTCAAGTGGACATGGGTCCAGGTATCTGGAGATTGAATAACAACATTCTGCCAAATAACAAAAAAACAATAGAAAAACGTCTTGAAAATTGGTCAATTGAAAACTATGATGTAAGTAAGCAAGAATTACAGGAGTTCCTACGCAACATCTCAATACAGAAAATCAGACTGGAAACGAAATACAAATAAATGTTAGAATCCCAAATTGAACATTTGAATATAAGCAATCAAAAAAGAGTTGAACTCGAATGTCAACTGCGAAAAATGGAACAAGAAGAGTGTCGACAAATTTTGACATATATTCAAAATAATGTCAAAAAGCTTATGGACGGCAACCCCAAAGAAATTAAAAGATGGTCTAGGCAACAGCAACCTAAAACAGTCATCAGAAAAATGAAACTTCAAACTGGGGATATTACAACTAAAACACAGCGGATATTGGAAGAAACAACATCGTTCTACGAAAACCTCTATAAAGAAGAGCAAGTGATGGACATAGATCGGTATGAGATTCTCAATAGTTTTCACAAAAAATTGTCGGACAAGAGCATCGAAAGTCTTGATGCTCCACTTCAAATGGAAGAAATTGAAATGGCAATAAGTAAACTAAGCCAGTTTTAAGTGAAGTGATTGAGAACGAGCTACATGCATATTTGCCCAATAGATCCATACATCAAGCCATCCTTGAAATCCGATTAAGACTCCGCAAATCAAAACCCAAAGTGGTAGCTTCAACGATCGACTTTTCTAAAGCTTTTAATAGGGTCGATCGGAAATATATGTTCCAAATTCTACGAAAAATTGGCTGCCCAAGCCAATTGATATCACTAATAGAAAACTTGTACTGCAACTCTAAGTCATCAGTTGCAATAAATGGGTTTAATTCAAGAGAAATCAAACAGAAACGAGGAGTCCGACAAGGATGCCCATTATCAGCTCTGCTTTTTATCTTAGCTCTTGAGCCACTGTTAAATCAAATACGAGAATCAACTTAATTTTAGTAAATTTGAAACACGAAGTGTTGCGTATGCTGACGACCTAACAGTTTTCACTCGCGCTGACGAGGTTCAACATCTGCACAAAATACTTGATGATTTCTGCAAAGGCACCCAGTTTCGAGTTAATCGAAGTAAATCAAAATCCTTAAGCCTGTACGATCACCCAAATATGGAAACTGTTAGAACAGCAAAAGTACTCGGAGTAGTGCTAGGAGACCCAGAGCTCTCAAGAAGATCAAATAATGAGGAAATTCTGAAAAGACTTAAAAACAACAAGATCAGATTCAATCGATACTTGAGTTACAGAGCAAAATCTATTGCGGTTTCCACTTTTGTGATACCACAAATAACTCATATCGGAAGACACAATCTAATTTCATTAGATGTTCTCAAAATGTACAAGGAAGTAACCAGAAAAATTGTTTGAGGAGCTGGCAGGAGATGTGAAATAGCTTTGCAGTTCCTTGAACGAGACATGCTCAAAGGAGGAGTGAAACTTCCCAGCCTGCAGGCCCATCTTTTAGCTGCCAAAATCCAAGATTTTCAAAACGCCTACTTCAACTTCGGACCACTGCAGAAACATCTCTTAATGGAAAACTGGAATAATCCAACAAGCAGGTTTTACAGAGAACTAGATGGAGATCTAGAAAACTCTGAACTCAGTATCAACTCATTAAATGACGTAGCATTAAGATAATAAATTCCCGAGGTTGGATGATGAGCATCCTTGCGAAAACAAAATACTCCCAAATATATGGAGCATGCGTGGAAAACTTTCACTTTGAAAATAGTTGGAAAAAAGAATCGAAAAAAGCTGCACGAAGTTCAACTTGAACCCAACTGAATTCAGTAAAGTTTCGCCATGGTTGTGGAGACAACCAAGGTTAACCAGCTTTGAAAAAAAATTGTTCTACCGTCAGCTCTTCAATTGCCTTCCAGATAAAGACGTCCTATGGAATAGAAAATTAAAGCCCGATCCATTATGTGCTTTCTGTATGTATGAGTTTGAGAACTGTACCCATCTGTTTGAGAGTTGCTCTACTATAAAACCGTTCCTGGAAAAACTTCAAATCAAACAATTATCCGACATCTTCAAAAATCCCAGTGTTGTAAAAACGAAAGCAGTATCAATCGTCCTTTTTGATTCATGGAGAGGCAATAATGCAGAATGTACAACTTACAGACTTAAAAAACTTACAAACTTTATGCATTGATTTACCTAAATAAGTTTTCTTTTTGCTGTAGTACCAAATAGTTGTAGTACATAACTTCTAGTAATTTACGATTTACATACTATGGAAATCCGGGCAGGGTGTCAAATTGAGACAATCTCTCTTTTTCCCAGCCTCACTTTTGAGTGGGGTCAACTAATCTGAAACAAGTGCTTGAACACCCGAGTTGCGATCAACGTTTTGCGATTCTGATAGAGAATTTTAGTTTCCATCTTCAATGGCGTTTATCAGAGTCAATGAACGAAGTGAAGACTGTTTTATAGGTGCTTTTTTGTTTCAGGAAAAAGTCTTCACGCTCAACTTGGTTTTTAGTGGTTTGATTTCATTTCAAGTTCGGTTCATGTCAATTGTTAAAATAAAGGCAAAATTGATTATTGAACAGCCGAAGTGTAAAAATCTAAAAAAAAACGTGATCAACTATTTGTTTCGAAAATGGATTGTAATTTCCGATTTTCTCGGCGGAATAAAAGTTTGCCTTTTCATCCAGTTTTCTCCAGTTGGGTTAAATTTTCAAAAGAGTGTCAATCATACACGTAGAATTTCGAAAGTTGAAATTTTTGTAAACAAAAAACAAACAAGACTGCTCGTATCAGGGCGAAGCCCTGAATGTTCCGACTGCCCTTTAAGGTTTATGGAGCAGCAGTAACATAAAAAAAATTTAATATAGTGAAAAAAAAATTTTTCTTCTAAAATATGAATTTTTTTTTGAAATCATCCCCTCACACGCCATATAAAGTACAAAAGAATAGACTTCGCTCCTATTAACTAATCAACTATGGCAAATAAGCTTCCTTGAACCAATTTGGAACGATTTCCATGACGGATTAAATATCCGCTTACGCGTTAATAGCGCGAAAAATATCGCGCGTTAATTGTCCCAAATTGGCTAAAATGGCGATCTTTAAGCCCCCATAACTTTACGAAAAATGATCATAGTTAAATTATCTTTTCAAATTTGAGCTCATGACAACAATACTTTTCGATTGATATAAAAAAAAATTCCGTCAAAAATGGCTAGGTAAAAAGTCGAAATTTGTCTGAAGAAAAAAAAAACCCACCCCGAGCACAAATATTCCGTTACTTTCGTATCGAAAGTCGGAACATTTAGTATTTGTTTCTGTTTCCTTGCATTCATTGCGACTTTTTAGCTGTGAGGAGTGCTGTTTTCTGTAACCCAAATTTTCGGTAAAATGTACAGGTATTGCTTAGAATTGCATCAATCTGGAATTGCTTAGAATTGGAATTGCATCAATCTGGAATTGCTATGCTCATTTATTTTAGATGACGGATTGGCGGATACTCTAAAACAGTTCAAAGAGCAACTTTATGGCAAACCACGCAAAAGAGTAACTTTCGGATCCAAGTCGAAAGAAGCTTCGGGTAAATCATCTGGACGAGGACTCTTCTTCAAACTGTTCTGGCTCCTCGTTCTAATCACACTTTGTGCCTTCGTAGAATATAAAATAAGAGGCCGTGACTCGGTTGCAAAAAATGCTTTTGAAGCCAGTGCAAATAACATGCGCCAACTACACGACTGGATGATCAAAAGTTACCCAAGTGAGGCCAAATATGTGAAAGATTCGGCCAATCGAGTCATCGCCAAAGTGAAACCCCAGATTTTCAATGCGTATAACGTCGCTTACAATTACATAGCTAAGGGTCTCGACTGGCTGTACAAAGATGGACCCCTGAGGATGTTCAGATACGCGGAGAGAGATATCTTGCCGGCTGTCAATAAGTTCTACAAGCGAAACATGGAAAAACGAGTGGCCACTTTGTCAAGGAATATAGGAGAGGCTCTTGATTCAGTCATGAGTTACATCAATCTGGAATTGCTTAGACCCTATTTGAAATGAAGCTACCAAGCGAGCCTTTCCTCATTATAACACCTGGGGAAAATGATAGCTTTGGACATAATGTCTTCATAATCAGAAATAAAAGATGGATGCTCAGTAGATTCGAATTAGAAGAACCAAGCATACTTTTTGTAAAATGTACAGGTGTTGTGCTACATTTTAATATGGTGGCAGTTAATATTTTGATTAATAGTATTCTTGGATCAAGTGAAATTACCAATTTAATATTGAAGAGGCTGACAATCTGAATTGTCCAGCTCAAATGACTTATTGTATTTTCGGTGTGCATTGAAAGTGACCTAGCAAATTCTTATTTTCTTTCCGCAAATGAATTAATGCTTTGTAACTGGTTGGGTCGTTTTCTGAACGTATGTTTTCTGCGTCTCTTGATGTTATTACTTCGATATTTTTTCTTCTCAGGGCGGGGATTGAAAATCCCTTGCTAAACTACGCCATCGGTTATAAATTATAGCTTCAACTATGTATTTCAAATATATATTTTGTCTCATTGTGGAATTATATTGACATTGAGTGCGCATTAATTTAAATTTTGAGAAGAAAGCTTATTTTCAACCATCAAACGTAATTTCGGGAAAGACTCGTTGCTGTTGATGAACTTTAAATTGATGAACTTTAAGTTATGTGTATTCGCGAATGGGTCGTGGTTAATATGGAAAAATTTGCTTGTGTTGCATATATATTTTTGTATCGCAAGTAGTGCGAGGCTCGGCTTCGCCTGCGTATCAAGCTAATACAAAATTTCTTCTAAATCGAATCAGTTTTTTTCAGATAGTGTCTGATTGAGTGTTGTTCTTCTGTTTGACCTGATTGTATCCATCAGAATGGTGACCATAATAGACACGTTGCACTCGGACATGATCCATGACGCGCAGTTTGACTTCCCTGGTCGCAGAGTGGCCACCTGTTCCTCAGACAGGACAGTGCGCATATACCAAGTGGAGTCATCTGGTACTGGTCATTCGAACTCAACGTCCTCATCTTCAGACTACAAACAGCAGCATAGACTCATCGCCATATTGGATGGGTTAGTGCTATTTTTGTCCTTTTTTTCTCCGATTTTCTTAGAAACATTTCAATAATTTACGTTAACTTTGTATCTAATTGTTGAAAAATTCTTAATCGATATAATTAACGTTAAATTGCGTAAATCTCTATAATTCTTTTTCAGCTATGTGAAACAGTAGTTTAAGAGCAGTTTTTCTTTCGGAATTAATTTTTTGTTATTAATTAGCATTGGAAATGGGCCTTTGTTCTTATTTGTTTTAATGAACCAAATCTTTTAGTAGTGCTTGCATTATATTTAATTTTTTTTTTCAATATTAACGATAAAACATTGAAGTTTTAAACGAAGGCTGATGATAGGTGACTTCGTTAGATGTGTGTGTGTGTGTGTAATTGTAGCAAGTTATTTTCAGCCATGATGGTCCTGTGTGGCAAGTCTGCTGGGCCCACCCCAAGTTCGGATCCCTCTTAGCCTCCTGTTCATACGACCGAAAGGTCATCCTGTGGAAGGAAAGCCCCGTAGTAACATCAGGAGGAACCCTGTCCTCCAATCCCTCCAATAGTGCGACTAACTCCACCTGGACTAAATTCCACGAGTACGACCAGCATAAGTCGTCAGTTAATTCCATCATCTGGGCCCCTCACGAGCTGGGTCTGGTGTTAGCTGCTTGCTCATCGGATGGATCTGCGTCGGTTATCGATTACACAGGTAATGTTTAATCGGTGGTTTCAGTAAAACTAAGTTTCAGTATTTTACCAATGAACGGTGATCAAGTAGAAATAGAATTGACCAGTAGAACTTCTAGTTTTGTTCGATTCTTTAACACCCCGATCGGGATTGATCAATTTGTACATGCGGATCTATGTAACTATTCCCACCTGTCCTCTAACACTAAAGAGGAAGATTTGTTATTAGGTTGAAAATTCGTATATGTTTAAGTGCTGGGTAAGTCGTTTTAAGGTTGGATATTTGGTTACTAGGGGGCGAGGGAGGGGGGGGGATATTTAAGTAGATCTGGGTAATCCATTTTGCGAATCCTGAAAAATCATGATGATAAACTTTGTTAAATTGAGGTCAAGTTGTGTTGTATACTGAGTTCTCACATCTGATTGGGATTTTTTAACCTGTTAAATGACCCGTTGAACCAGTCAGTCAAATTTGACCAATGTGGCAAGTGTTCGAACTGACAGAATAGCGTGCGGATCTAGTCATAGCACTTGTAGTCCCAGCATTTGGAGGCATTCATAACAAGCAGCATGCCATCACTATAGCATCGCAGCATCCCGCGTTAATTGTCGCTCATTACATCCCAGCATGTTAATCATATTGATGTCAGTGCTTCGAGTAGACAAACTTGCTTAATATTTTTTGAAGATAATATGAGCCCATTATGTCCTAAATTAGAAATATTTTCATGATATGGTCATCCATAGAATCAGATGATATTGAATAGCCAAAGTTGTCTCAATTTAATTCCCTGTCATGATTTTTATACAACTGATTGTGATTCAAGACGTGCTTAAGATTTATATGCAACTTTTTTGGTTATTTTTCCTAGTTGAGGAGAGTTTTTGTCTCCTGCAGGCAGTGGGCAGAGACCATTGCAGAAGATGTTGGAAGAGACAGCAACTATTCTCAGTCCAAAGGAAGTACCATTAAAAATGCATGTAGTTGTTAAGCAGGGAAACGGCAATGGTTCTCCCTTCTTCCTAAATAGCTGAACATTACTGTTCTTGTATTTTTATTTGTTCATCCTGTGAGCAGGTGTGAGTAGCAGTGGGACTGGTGAGGGGGGTCAGCAGCAGCCGGAAGTGAAGAGGATAGCCAACTGTCATCAGGGGGGATGCAATGCCATCAGCTGGGGACCATCTGTCCCTCCCTCCGCTCTCCTGTCCAACGATGCATCCTTCGAGGTTAGTCAGAGAAAGACTGTGGAAGAGAGAGTACTGATATTGAAAACGATTCTCCCCTCTTTGCAAAAGGGGGAGGAAATTTCATTACAAGGTACAATATTCGTATATGCTTAACTGTTCAATTTTTTTATAATGAGGGGGCAAATTCGTTACAAGATACCTCAGGGAAGGTAATAGTTAACAAGATCTGAGAGTACATATAAGTGAAAATATCAAGCAAGGTCAAACTTTGACGTGAGTTCTTAACAGCCGCCATTATGCATTTCAAAGTTAGAGTACAACGATGAAGGAAACTGAGACACCTGTGAACGGACCTGTAGGTCCAATGGTGCTCTCCTAGGCAGTAAAATTTTTGGCGTGATTTATTAATACTCTTAATGGAATTGCCTGAAAAAATTTATTAATTGTTGTGATAAACTGATTAAATAGTTCCAGATTACATGATCGATTCGAGGAGTGGCAATTGACACTCCCTTCATCTAATCAATCGCTGTCGAATTATTATTATTATTAAGACAACAAGACTTCTCGCTCGTATATAAGGAAAACTCCTTGCATGTTCCGACTGCGCCTTAATCCATAAAGAATAATTTTTGGGAACAATTAAGTTATCAAGTGTGAAATGAGTCGTAGGAAATTAATACGACCGATTAGCTAGCCTCAAATCAATCTGGAAGGATTTTGTTGCGCGGGATAATTTCTCACGCATAAATAGTTTGAGTTACGCTTTCAGCATTATAAATGAAATCTTCAATGCGCGCATAAATTAGTCCAGGGCATAGCCCAATGGGCAATTTTCAAACTCCCAGAACTTTGCTAAAATGGTCGGAGGTAAAATATCTTTTTTACATATGGGTTCAGGGACACGATATCTTTAATGGGGTATAAATTTTTTTGTTGAAATCTATTATTTCGATCGCTGAAAATTGACTGACTAAATACATATTCCGTTTTGTTCGAAAGTTGGAACAAAAAAAACAGGCACTCAATCACTCTTCCAAAAGCAATATCGACTGATATCCCCTCCAACATAAGCAACAGATTTATTTTTTAGGCCGCCATGTCAACTCACTTGAAGATATTCACACAACTTGCTTATCTGGATAATCAATAAAATTTTGGGGCTGTTGTCGAGATTCTTGGGTTCCGTCATCGCTGTCAATGTGTGCTGGTTCTATCTTTAGTTTTCAGGCACTTTTCCTTGATCGACGGAATGGTCTCCATAGTAGCTACATGTATCTCGACTCGGCGTAGCTACAATAACAAATGCATGCAATTATTTGTTCATGCAGATCTTGTCAGGGGGTCCAATGTAAATACACTCCAAAACAATCGGAATATAGATATTGTATAATATATGCATTTCATTTCTTATACGCTTTTCGGGATGGCGGAGAGTTTCGTGTTGAAATTTAAGGATAGCGTTTATTAGGTGTTCAAAGGAGCTTTGTCGAATGGAATTTTGCAAAAGGTTTGTTCGCGCTAAGTTTCTTGAATTAAATAAAATATTGTTCTAATTCTACGATGCAATCGTGGACGTTGTTGATGTGTTAACACTCTAGACCCACTGCCAGATATCGTGTACTTCCATCGTCTTTTTCTATGGAAATCCGGGCAGGGGGTCTAATTGAGACAATATCTCTTTTTCCCAACCTTACTTTCGAGTGGGGTCATATCAACTGAATCATAGATTTTGAGTCTTGTTGCAGACATTTTCTGTAAGTTGAATAAAGTTCGCGATATGTAGCCGGATCGTAAGATCGCTCACCATTTTACAGAAAATGTGAAGATAACTTGGCTTAAAATCGCCCTGTTGCAGATCAATCAGTATTCGGCATATTGGCTTTGCTGCTTCAATTTGCAATTTAATTTTAGATGATCGTTCACTTAATTAGTTTAAGAGGAAAATTATTCGTAAGGGCCAGAACCTCAAAGCTAATGCGATGGATTTTCCAAATTGCATGGATAGCCTCTCAGTTCCAAAAACCTCCATGTATTGTGTGTGCATGCGTGTGTGTAGAGCTACCAGAAGACGTTTGTGACTGGTGGGTGTGATAACTTGGTGAAGATCTGGAGCTACAACGAGGACAGCAGTTGCTCGTGGGTGTTGGAGGAGACGCTGCATGGCCACAGGGACTGGGTGAGGGATGTGGCATGGGCACCCTCAGTCGGACTGCCTCTCTCCACCATAGCCTCCTGCTCACAGGTTGGCTTGTTATCAAAAGCGGATTTGGGGGGGGGGGGGGACAACCCCTCCCCTCAGGGCCTCGACCCCCTGCCGACTGACCCTAAAATGTTTCTTTTTTTTCCTCAAATTATCATTGTAGCTACTGACTTGATATTAATGTTTTTGTAATCAAATAACTCTATTTTAAACATAAATACTGAAAAAATAAGTCTATTATTTTCATCCCTACACTCAATTTTTTGTATAAAGAAAAGTTTTGCAGTGAAAAGTTAAAGTCTTAGCTATCGTTTTTTCCCAATTAATTAGTTTCTTAAATGTTTTCTAATTTTTGGTCAATTTCAAGCTTTTTTTCTTTTGAACGTGTTTCTGATGAAAGAAGTATGTGTATTTTCTTCTTAAAGTAGTATAATAATTTTTGTATAATAAATTTAGATAAATTTAACGTGATGAACTTAAGTAATTCATAGATTTTTTTGCCTTCTAACTTTGGAAAAAGCATTCAGTTTTTTAAAGAAACATGTTTTCTATTTTTTTTTGTTAGTTTTGCTTCAAATTGCCTATTTTACATGAGTTCCAAAAACTGGCATCTATTGCTATGTAGGTTTCAATGAAGGTTTCAATTCCGTTTTTTAGAAAGTTTTCCACTCGAAATAATTATATAGGTGCTGATGATTTTTTTTTTTGGTTTTTTTTTTCTGTAAAATACTTGAAATTTGTTCAGGCTCAAATTTTTTCGCTGTTCGCTATTTTTTTTTATAAGTTCAGTTTATTTCCTTTGTTAAACGTAAGGCAAACTACACCATCGAAGAGCAAAAGTGTAAAGGTTGAGAAAAACCCGATCGACTTCTAATTTTGATAATGGAATTTAATTATCAGGTTTTCCAGTGGAATAAAAAACTACCTATTGATCCAGTTTTCTCAAATTTTATCAAAAAAGTCCGTCATAAATTATTCTATTTCTTACTGTCAATTATCTTAATTCTTCTTGTCATTAGTCATTATTATTTTTTCTGTTTTCCTGTGTTCGCTTACTCTTTTTCAACTGTCTGATTACTATTTTTATGTTTCGAATTACGGAGAATTGTTTTTAATGTGTTTATAAATTAAGTGTGCTTCATTGTTTTGATTTCAAATTTTTTTTGGCTTTTTTGTGTCCTGAAGCTCTGATTTGACTCTGTGCTTAAACATGCGAGGCGTAGTGTGATAGTACACAGTTACTTTTGTTTTCAAACTAAGTCCTAAATAGTAGTGCTCTAATTTTGATGGCAATTTGAGCTCATGCATGTTGTCAAATCTTTAGCACATGGTGTGAAGTTAGATAACTAATAATTTAACACAGCTGATTCTTTTTAAATTCAACAAATTAACCGAAAAGCTATTTGCTTCATAGAACAGTATAATAATAGAAATTCCGTTTCAGAATTTGTCTTGATTAATGTGTTTGGCGACATGGTACAAATGTGATAGATTGGTCCTTTTAAAAATTTAGTGTAGCAGAGGGGTAACATGTCACACTTATTAGAATCAAATACAACTATTAAGTTAATAGACACCGATTGATCGTTTCAAGACCTCTTCTCAAACTTAGTACAAGTGAGGCAAGTTATTTAAATTGTTGAAGCAATCAATGAAGCAATAAAATGAAAATTGTTGAGGCACTGTTTTTACTTTATTGATCCGGTTAGTTTCTTGGTAGTTTTCTGAAATGCATGATTTATACTCAATTTGGAAATAAACGTTCCAAGTTATTGCATGCAAAGTTAGTGTGGTGGCTTTAGTTTTTGTTCCGGCCATCTGAAAATGGGTAGGAACTTTGTATTCGAGTATGCTAGTTTTTTCTTTATGTTTTCCACGCAAAATCTGGTACCACAAACAACTGGGAGTGGGTCGAGTCATATATTATATTAAAGCCCTTTCAGTCATTTGTACTTGCGAATTTTCCCAATTGCATGATTTATCTGCATGGTTCCTATACGCATATCTGTACTCGCGAATTTTCGTAAATGCATGTCTAATACTCATTTAAATACTTGTTTAAAAATGGTGAGGAACTTTGTATTCGAGTGAGTTTTGTTAGTTTTTTTTCTTTGTTTCCCACGAAAAATCTGGTACCACAAATAACTGTGGGAGTGGGTTGAGTGGTATGTCATATTAAAGCTCTTTCAGTCGTTGGTACTCGAGAATTTTCCTAAATGCATGATTCATCTGCATGGTTCCTATACGCTTATCTGTACTCGCGAATTTTCGTAAATCCATGTCTAATACTCAATTTGGAAAAAAGCGGTCCAAGTTTTTGCATGCAAAGTTTGTGTGGTTGCCTTAGTTTTTGTTCCGATTGTTTAAAAATGGTGAGGAACTTTGTATTCGAGTGAGTTTTGTTAATTTTTTTTTGTTTTCCACGAAAAATCTGGTACCACAAATAACTGTGGGAGTGGGTAGAGTGGTATGTCATATTAAAGCTCTTTCAGTCGTTTGTACTCGAGAATTTTTCTAAATGCATTACTATATGCATGATGCTTACATGCATATCTGTACTCGCGAATTTTCTGAAGTGCATGATTTATACTCAATTTGGAAATAAAAGTTCCAAGTTATTGCATGCAAAGTTTGTGTGGTTGCCTTAGTTTTTGTTCCGATTATTTAAAAATGGCGAGGAACTTTGTATTAGAGTTGTGTTATTTTTTTTCTTTTTGTTTTCCGCGCAAAATTTGCTACCACAAATGATTGTGGGAGCGGGTCGAGTGATATCATAATTCAGTCGTGATTCGAACGACATTAAAAATTTTTCGAAAAGTTGTCCCAGTATCGATAAAAACAGGTCTAAAGTTGTTGGCTTTTAGTCTAAATTCGAGCTATTAATGCGAGAGAGCAGGCTTACAATAGCTTATTTTTGCTTGACTCAGTCCATGGGAACTTTTTTCACTCAGTTAAACAAGTTTTTGGAGTTTTTTAACGCCATTTGGGAATTAAAAACTTTAAATTTTGTTAAATATTTTCGTAGTTTTTTTTTCTACAAAACTGTTGTCCAAATTGCCTATCTTACTATGATTGTCGAATTTTGTCAAGTTTCGGTTTTTCGATCTGATCATTTTATGGCATCACGGAGAAAAAACGGCACTAAGTTGAAAAAAAAATTTTTTTTTTATGTATTTTTAGACTATGGTCTGAACATTCTGTGATACCTGCACAGTAATCGGCTATTGTTGTTTACAAGAGTGTTTTTGTGCATGTAAAGCTCTTTGTACCACTTGCTTGCTTGTGTTTGCCAAGCTGCAGCTTCGCCTGTAAAGAAAATGTTTCCGGTGTCTTTAAAAACCGATATGATTCACAGTTATAGGCTTTTGAAAATCGATTGAATTAATGTTGGACTTTTGAAAAAAGAACGGAATAATTGTGCTCGGAGTGTTTTTTTTACTCCTGACGAATATCGGCTTTTCAGCTAGCCATTTTTCACGATTTTTTTTCTATATCAGAAAAGATATTGTTTTCCTGAGCTCAAATTTAAAAAGATATCTCAATTGTGATCTTTTTTGTTTGAAGGTTGCTAATTTGGCCAATAAAGATAAAATTGTTGCGTTTCTAATGCGCAAGCGAGATTGAATCCCCTGGTAGAAATTTGATTGTTTTTGATAGTTTTTGAAAATATCATTTACTTTCGGTTAGTTTCCTGGGAGCTCTCTCACGCTTGAATTTTTTAATGCATGATTTATTCAAAATTCAGTTTTGTAATTTCCAATTTATTGCATGCAAAGTTCGTGTGGTGGCCTTAGTATATTATGTTTCCATTTATTACACCCAGATTTTGTGTTTTGTGCATTTCAAGTTCCTCTTTGCCACTTGCTTGCTTGTTTTTGCGAAGTTGTAGCTTCAACTTTGAGTAAGAAACTCCGCATAGATGTTTCCCGGTGTCTTTAAAAACCGATATGATTATACAGTTTTAGGTTTCAAACAATCGATTGACTAGTGTTCTTCCGACTTTTGTAGAAAGTGAGAATTTTTTGCTCGGAGTTTTTTTTGCTTCAGACAAATTTCGATTTTCTAGCTAGCCATTTTTTATATTTTCCGAAAAGTATAGTTGCCCTGAGATCAAATTTAAAAAGATATATCAGCTTTGATAATTTATTGTAAAATTATGGGGTTTTGAAGATTGCCAATTTAACCAATACGGGACAATTTACTCGCGATTAGTTGCGCGTTACTAACGAGCAAGCGCGATTTAATCCCCTTTAAGAGCTCGTTGAAAATTGAAGAGATGGTTTTTTTCGCTTTAGAAAACTTCATCAATTTTTGACCCAAAAAGTTTAAAAAGAAACGAAAATGACGGCAAAAACGGTTGTTTTGAGAACATTTTTCATCAAGCGGCTTAGCTTTGTTTTTCATGAATTACTGAAACCATAACAAATTTCGTCTGCGTAGCAAATTTGCACTAGGGAATCACTCTCTTAGTTTTTAAAAGGATCAGTTTGAGTAAGTCAAAGCGATGGTTAAAGATATGAAATTCGAACTCTTTCTCAGTCAACGTTTATGGTGCAACCGGCTGTTTTTACTCCATAAAAACAGCTGGTTTTTACTCGCTGTTTTTTATGATTGGCTGATGATTATTGAATTTATTATGAGGTTTTAATGTTTAGCAACATTCGTTTTTCGTGTCATCTGAAGCACGCATACATCTTTTTATGGAAACTTTCGTTTCAGGATGGTATAGTGAAGATATGGAGGAAGGAGGTTAGTTCAAGTGGAGTGGGTGTGTACTACCAGTCGAATGAGCTCTACCAGTTCCCAGATGTCGTCTGGCATGTCAGCTGGTCCTTCACTGGAAACATACTCGCAGTGTCTGGTGGCGACAACGAGGTTATTAATAAAGTTATTTCTAACGGTTTTCAAAACGGTTCTTTTCATGTTTGTATTTCGTCTGCCAACTGTTATTCACAAATAGTTTTTATCTATTGTTCTGATTCCAAAATGGACGATCGGAAGTTAGAGTAGATGAGAAAAACTTGAGGAGAAAATATAACCCACCTCAATTTCCCAAATTTTATCAGGTGACTCTGTGGAAAGAAACAGAAGACAACAAGTGGGAAAAGATATCCGAAGTGAATAAAACCGACAAGTAGAGAAAAAATGAGCATCAGGTCAGCAGATGGAATGAATCACCGTGTATGTGCTCCGAGGTCAGAGTTTCAGGCAGGGGGATGGGAAGAAAACGGAATGAGTGTGATCAAAAACTTGAATTGTACCTTGGTAATTTGGACTGATAGTTTGAGCGTTATTTATCAATGAGTTTAATTCTTGATTCTTTTCGCGTTTATATTTCTTCGGCTTTGCTTCAACAGCTGGCTTTTTGCAAGAAAAAACAAGTTGAAGAAAAAAAACTCAAATCGTTTTGTGAGTCTGCTCTCGAAACCAATTATTTCCAATGATTATTTAGGTCCAATGGTGCCAAATGTAAAAAAAAGAATTTTTGAGAGAGAAAACTTCGCCAAGAATCAATTTAAACAAATTAATTGGCAATGATTGTAAGGCTCCCTTTTGTCAAAGAAAAAAAGAATATGCGCTGACCAGCCATTTACAAAGTCATTGCCAATGTTTATGAAAGTCAAAGTTGTAAAAAAAAAATCTCTTCGGGGTTGCCGAACTAACTTTAAAAAACTCATTTTACGGGCGCATAATATAAGAAACAAGTATATTGGTCAGGAAATTAATTTAATTTGATATAAAGAATTTTGCTACAAAAAATAGAAATTTAACTAATCTAAATGTACAATTTAATTTTCTTTACGGCAAACTGTCAGTTTAAGCTGTTTGTGCTAGTCAAAATCCCAGAATTATCTCTGCACTTGCACCCGGCGCCCCAATCAAATCGGCATTTTCATGTGAGGAACAGCGATTTATCATTTTAAGCTGATCTGCTGGGTAGTTCCAGTTTTCACACGATGGATCTCAAATGGCCGATGAGGCAGCTTATAGGCGTTATATGAACCACGCATCTGATTCCCTTTAATCAAGGCACGCGTAATCTGAATTCCATTGAACAAAGCAAACTGGATCGGATTTACGTTGATATTCACCGACGTGAAATGATGTCGTCAGTGATTTCAACAATAGGTCACTTTGCTATGAACTTCTGCCGAACTTGAACAGGAGTTTGATCTGTCTGATTGGAATGGGCTGTTATAACTTCATAGGATTCGGTACTTGACAGTGAAGTGCTTTTCGTCAAAGGCACCGAAGTCACTTTTCAATTGGATTCTCAGTACTCCGTCAACCAAACTGAAGCAGCTCTCATTTTCAATGTTGACTCTGTTAAGGTATATGGAAGTTCCTGAAGCTTTAATGCTCATCTTGCTCAAATCTGATTGGTCAATGCTGGGTGGCTCGACCAGCAGGCAAACCTTAGTTTCAGCTTGCGAAAATTCGATGGTCTGGTCAGTTGAGTCGGATTTAGGTGCAATGATGAGGTCGAGGTGTCCAGAAGCGAACATCCATTCCAGTTTGCCCGAAATTGGGCAAGAAAGTCTGGCAACAGCTACAGATCCTTCAGAAGTTGTGTCAGAGCTGAAAGAGAAAATAGATTTAGAGAAATAGTCTATTCAAATGTGGAATTTCATCTTTTTTTCTGTTAAGAGATTTTTGCATTGTTGTATTAGTCATTCAATAGCTTACATCCTTCAGTTAATCAAAAAATCTCTCAAGCAAAATTTTATATTGACTTTTTGGGCTGAAATTGAAAATACGAAAAATTACTTACATATGCATGAAGGTGCAAGGATCTACTGCGTTTTTTGTCCAAACGGTCCAGGTTGAAGTCAATAGAATGGCGAGGATAGCAAATTGGTTAGAGACATTCATTCTTATTTTTAGTTTTGGTGCAATTCAATAAACCAAATAGGATCAGTTTTGAAACAGCAGCGGTTAACTTGAAATGAAGGCAAATTTGTGATCAACTTGTGCTAAATAGCTTCGATCTGACCGATTGGTTAATTTACTTGAATTAAGCTTCTTAAATACCAATAAATAATATGAGCTTTCGTTCTCTGAAGAATGGCAGAAAATTTGGCAGTGATAAATTTGGGCGACTGAATTTCAGGGTTAACAGTGCAATACTGATGGTAAGTGTGGCAACTTGCGAACCAGTTGGAAATGGTGGGTGGGAATGTTAGAATTGCGTCAAAGTACTAGCGTGAGAGAGTTGATTCGGGTGGGAAACCTCTCGTGACAAGAGAACTGAATACGAGAGGCGACAAGTTAAACCGGACGCAATTCGAGTGAACTTAATTGTTCACTTGACTTACCAAGTAACAATCGTGCGAAAAATTCATTGGCAGTTCTCGTTAAAAAAACAAGGCCACTAATTAACATTTTAATTTTAAAAAAATTCTACTTTGAGATACAAGAATTTCCCATAAACTGATATGCTATATTAGTTTTGAATGGATTACATTTTTCTGACCTTTTCAATATTATTATTTGCTCGAATACACAATAAAAATAAAAGTTTCACATAAACACTTGGTGAAAAACTATTAATGTTACGTAATTGGTTTACGAGATAAAGAATGTGAAAGTTGAAAATATTTAGCCTAAAGCGGCTTAGCTAATTATTTTAATAAAAAATCAATTAGTCTTTAATAATGAATTTTTCCTCAGATGAAGCGTCAAAAAGGAATACTGGACAATCATACATTTTCTAATAAAGAGCCTGTAAGTTTTTAAGTCCAAAACTTCAAAACTCAGCAGCAACCTTTTAAACTGTAATTCAATAGTAAGCTTTAATGAACTTTTTTATGTGCAGAAGATATGAAACGCTTCTAAAAAGTAAGTTATTTTTCAAGAGCAGTTGGCATGTTGATATCAAGCTATAAATTTACAGACTTGACATTTTAATCGAGACTTTTCATAGCTTTTGTTGATTTTTAGGGACTACCTGAAACTCTGAAAACCCATGGCTGTTCTCATAAAATCGCATCATTTTCTTAAAATTTATTGGACTAGTCTGTTAGATGAGAACTTTGCTTCCTGCTCAATTGCACCAGGAATATAAAATTATGAACACAATATGTAACGACGTTTTTTCACGTATCTTTTCAGAAGTCACTTTTTCAGCTTGACTTTAACGGTACTTCTGACATTGACATTTATGAAACCAAGCTATAGGAACAGTTTTTTGTTCATATACTAAAAAAATAGCATAATGAAACTAAGTTTCGTCATTTTATCTTTTATGCAACTATTGCGTAATGCTGTTGCCCCTCATAGCCTAATGTTGAAATATGTTCGGGAAACTATGAATAAGATGAGATGGGAGGCGAACGTGTCTGAGATCAGGTGGGGATACGACTCACTGGACGGCGAAGTCGATCAGTTTCTGTTCGCGTGGTGCAATCTCAGAGGCAAAACTCCTACAGTCCCCGATGGCATGATGATCGATACAGTCGGGGACACTGACTTAACAGCTGAACAAGTCGCAGAGAAAGTCTTCAGCAAACATATGCAAAATGCATGTGATTACTACAAGTATGAAGGTCACGGGGCTACCTACGATGCGTGTAATTTAGGAGCAGACTTTGAAGCCGCTGCGAACTTTCGGAGATTTATGTTGCAGGAAAAAATACAAGTCGCTGCTTGTAATATTTACCTTTGCGGGCCGCAGAACTATTTTGCATGTAAGTTCCACCCTTTTGACCAGAACCCAAAACTGCCTCTGATAACAGATACCCAATTCTTTTATGCATGTGCGCACAATAGAGACTGCTGGGGCAGTTGTGACCCCAAAATGGACTATGCATGCAATGGTGCAGACATAGTAAACGGTACACTAAAGTACACGTACCAAACAGAAGAAGCAAGCAACCGACATGACAGTAGCGCACCTTCGGTTATAAAACAAAGAAGCTATTTTTGCCATTCTGTGACGATAACTGTGATAGTTTCATGTTTGTTCTACGGTGAATAAAAACTCGTTAAATGAGTTTTTTGAAATAATTACCTTGCTGAAGCCTATTTTGTTTGAAAAACAACATTGGGGTCTTTTTACTTAATATTTTCACTTTTGTGATTTTGTAATGTTCAATAAATAAAAGCGCAGAACAAAACACTGATCCCACTGATTGTTTTGGTTAGTAAAAATGAGATCACTATATTCTTTAGCCGACTTCTAACAAAGCCTAATTAAGAGCTGATTTGAAGTGGTTCTTTTTCTCCTGGAGCTATATTTTTTTCTTGGTTTGGGTACATCTCTGCTCAGGGGCGGATCTAGGATTTTGGAAAATTGAACTTTTTTTTGTTTTTAGATTGACCAAATTGATTTTCCGAGCTCTCCCAAAACACTACAAAGAGCCTGTTCTCGCCAAAATTTCTGGGCAGCAGGCAAAGTTTTGAAAAAACAGGCCGAAAATTTTTAGGATCCGTCACCAAAAAATGAATATCTCAAAATAGTACAAAGGGGCTCCTTTGGGTCTGCAGGGGGTCAAGTCCCTGAAGGGGGAGGAGTCCATACCCCTCTCCTAAATCCACCCCTGTCTCTGCAGCTTATTTAAAACCTGAATGGCGGACCAAACAATCTACTATATTGGCTGGCTTGGCTTTTTTGTAAGTCAAATGAAAATTGCGAAGAAAACATTTTGATTGGCTAATTCTAGCGAATCAGACTGAAACAAAGAGTTTCTGTTCAAGATGTTAGATGAGATTGGTAATTGGGTGACATAATTAATAAAATAGACCCAGCAATGCCGCAGCAAAGTTTTGTACTGCTTGACCTTTGTTACTACTCGACCATTTTTTTTACTATGGACGTAAATTATTTGATGATTACGTGCGCGCTCTAATTGTCGCGTTCGGATGAAACATTTACAACACACAAGAGTATTTCTCGGAAGAAATATTCATTAAGTATAGAACAAGCCTTTCAACAAAAATAATTTGCCCGGAAGAAAAAAAACTTAGCAGCCCAAATTTCACTACGCCAGCAGCAAATTTAAACAAAATTCGAACTTTACCAGGGTCGTTGAGCCAAAAAATTTGCCTGGTTTTTGAAACTTGATTCGATTCAGTTCAATTTCTGTTTCGACTCAGTTTAACTTTTTGTTCTGACTAAGTTTGAAATTACCTTTCGACTCAGTTTGACGTTATTTTTCGACTCATACGAATGTAACGGAACATTTGTGCTCGGGGTGGGATTTTTTCTTCAGATAGATTTCGACTTTTTAACTAGCCATTTTCGACGGAATTTTTTATATCATTCAAAAGACAGCCTAAATTTGAAAAGATTTTTCACCTGTAATAATTTTTGTAAAACGCTGGGGGTTTGAC